ATTTCTTACAATATAGAATAGTAATTAGTAGATGGTATTTATTATAACTATATATATATATATATATATATATATATACTGTGATGATGTGGTGCAGGTTTGGAAAGACGTGGATGGAGTTTTGACTTGCGATCCAAACATTTACTGCGGAGCTCAACCAGTTCCACACTTGACATTTGATGAGGCAGCTGAACTTGCTTACTTTGGTGCCCAGGTAACCAACCAACCTCATCTTCACGAGAATATATACACTTAATTAATTGTTGTAACAAATTATTAAGGACCAAAGTGTATGTATCTCTCTCCGGCCTTTTCCATTGCAGGTGTTGCATCCACTTTCCATGCGCCCAGCTCGAGAAGGTAACATTCCTGTAAGGGTTAAGAACTCTTACAATCCCACTGCTCCAGGGACCGTCATCACCAGATCAAGAGACATGAGCAAGGTGAGTGAAGACAGTTTGCATCATTCTTTTTCATATCACAACATTACCGTGACCTCTTTCTTTATTATCTTCTCCTAGGCTGTATTGACCAGCATCGTTCTGAAACGTAATGTTACCATGTTGGACATCACTAGCACCCGTATGCTCGGCCAATATGGTTTCCTTGCCAAGGTAACCAACTTAACTCGAATTTAGTTTTCACTCTCCCGCCCTCCCAGCTCACTTTCTTTCTCTATGCAGGTGTTTTCCACATTTGAAAATTTGGGCATATCTGTGGATGTTGTTGCAACCAGCGAAGTTAGCATTTCTTTGACATTGGATCCTTCAAAGTTCTGTAGCAGAGAGTTAATTCAACAGGTAAACTTTATGACTTTTCTTGTATCTGTGTTGTCTTCTTTGAGACAACTTCCAGGCTACCACTTGTTCTTGAAGCAATGAACATAAGATCAACAACTCATATTGTATCTATAATTCTTGGCCATGTGACAGGAGCTTGATCACGTGGTCGAGGAACTTGAGAAGATTGCCATTGTAAATCTGCTTCGGCACAGATCAATTATCTCTCTCATCGGAAATGTTCAAAGATCATCATTCATATTAGAGAAGGTTAATTTACCCTCTGGTTTGGTTTGTATGATATAAAT